TGGAGCAGGAACACACGTCACAGAGCTGTTTTTACCATTCGGGTTCGGTGTAGTTATTAGCGTGTGCAAAAGGCACATTCAGACACTAATCAAGTTGACACTCGCAGACGATCCACACTCACACAGGCACACTTCAACTGGCCTTCGTTGCCCTGTTGGAATTTTCTTAGAGGCGAGACATGGTCCTACTGAAGCGTGGCAATTGTTTGTTTGAAAGAAGAGCCTCGTGTGTGCCTGCTGGAAGTTCACCGTGGTCGTTACACTTTGCTCTCTGATAGGTAATTATCTATGCGGAAATCACGTCTTATACCGTTGAGAATTTTCGTGAATTTAAGATGGGTATTAGAAACGGAAGAAAGCTCTTCCTTTAAACGGTGCGGGCGTAATTCGATTCATTTTCTACAAGACTCTATAATGTAACAACAAGCCAGCACTCTATATGCAATATGGACATCCTTTCATGAAAACACGTTCGGCAAATAACAATGAAGTCGATAGACGTTATGCATTGCGACCAAATCAACTGAGTCCTGAGCCTTGCTCAAAGTACAGCGTAAAACTACGCTTTGTTAATAAATAGCCCTTCTATTATCCGCCGCCGCAATTTTGCGTTCGAGACAGCTAAATAGAAGTTCGGCCCCTCTTTTATTACTATTTGCTGTCGATAGACTGTTACAATGTACCTACATTAAAGTATATATTACCAGTGTAATATACTATGCAAAAAATAAAAATATTAAATAAATACGTATGGAATTGAATAGACCGATGTGGAATCGTGTGCAGCAACATCTCGCAATAGATAGCACCGTTTCGACGAAACGCTTTAGACGTAGGAGTGGTATGCGCCACCAGATACCCTAAATCTGGCAGCTTTTCTCATACAGACATTGGCGAATCTATAAACTCAAGAAACATCTTAGTACAATGAACTGCATTTCAGGAAAAGCTGCAATTAGTTTTAGAGACGGTTGCGGAGCAGAAATCGGAGCCGGGGACGTTGAAGCAACCTAAAACCGCGCACTCGGTCTGAGAAGAAGAGCGAAGGCAAAATACCTGTTTACTATAGGATATGGAGGGGGTAACTCGTGCTTTACTGTTGCTGGCACTATTTTTCTTTAACCGATGTCATCATACCCACTAAGAGATGGGAGTCAAAGCCTTTTGAGCTGCCGGTTTTGGCGCTACCCATTCCCCTGCACGCGTTTGTACTAGGCTTGACCGCTCTAGTGGAGACGTATCAGTACCATACAACCAGAAGCTCGGAAAAATCAGAGTTTTACCGAGCTTACCGAGAATATGATGTAGTTGTTCTGCAGGGCAGTAAATATATTATTATAGTAGCGTATATTCGTCCTTCAAGCAGCGAGAACAGGATTATACTGGTACACTCTCTTTACTGGCTTCCTCGTTTGCTGATGACTTGAACACAAGGTTCGATATACCGAATAAATCCTGACATTCACACTACTAGATCTACTCAATAACTTTGAATGCCACTTGCTCTCCAATGGCAATGCGCCATCGTTTGAAGGTTATTCTTTGAGGTCGGTGATCAACATATTCGCATCTGAGTACCGATAAATTTCATAGAATGTAAATACATAAAATGTAAATGATCCTCTAAGCGAAAAAATAGCACTCTATGATGGTGTGCTGTTTAGAATTGAGCTTGTCCTGCGGGTAATGAACAACTCTGCAAATGAAAATGATTAGGCTATCTAAAGTGCTGAGCCATCCCAAATAAACAACTCTGTTTCTACTACTAAGAGATCCAGGCATAAACCACTATATAGAGAGCTTCACTGAAGTGCAAAAATAGCCTGTGACCGCGTTAACAACGCTCATGGTTCAATAAAAGTTAGATAAGATAGGCGGTGCTACACTGCACTAGACAGGAAAATTCGCCAAGCGTCAGCCGGCCATAAGGCCGTCCTGTAACATTCTAAAAGGCTGGTACAGATGAATACTTGAGCCCGTCTGTCAGCAGTACCTTGGACTGCAGGAAGACAGGGTAGTGGGGAATAAGCGCGAAAGAAACTATAGAAATGAGTGCAGAAAGGGAGATCGACATTTTATCCTATAAGCTCGGTCGAGCTAGTGGAGCAGTTCGGAAGCATATTTGTAGTGGCGAACACCATCCCACGAATCGTGCCTTTTTAATCGTGTCGTAGGATAAACAAAGATCTATGATGCGCGAGGACCCGCGCGTTCATGTTGAGATACTATACTTCCTGGAACAACTTTAATCAAACAAAGCGGCTGGATCGGATCTGATCGGCAATGAGCACTTGGAAAGGAGCGTGTGATATGCTTCCTTGTTCAATAACTGCTTACGGCATGGAGGCCTACCGACAAGGTGGAGTGAAGTCTTCTTAAGCGATTCATATTAACAAAGAGAGATAGCGAAAAAAAGTTACTGTAGCAAAGCTCTGTCTTCTTTGGGTACACAACATGGGTTTCGTAGAATACGTCCGGTTCTCACATACTGCTCTAAGAGGTACAAGCCGGCGTTTGGTGTAGTTCCTTGAAACCAAATTCTGACACAACTTGCAGAATCCTACAGAATATTATGCATTTAATGAAGCCAATACTACAGGAAAACTCAGTGAGCACAAACGACGGATCACGCCCGTTGAAGCCGCTTGTCCAATCAAATAATGGTGCACAGAATTCTAACCTGAGTCCCTCTGCTGATCTGCCACTCCGTCTTTAAAATCTGACGGAATAGGTAAAAACGTGTCTTGCATAAAATTAGCGATAAATCAGTATAGTTTTATAACGTGCGTATCACTTCTGCATTTTTTTTTTAATTTGTGTCCCTTGCTTTCGCTAAAGGGCAGCCTTCTGCTGCTATTTTTATTGTTTTTTTTTTTTGGTCCAAAAGAAGGAATGGTGCAATGCTCAACCAGGTAGATGATTTCTCTCAAAACTTTATTTAAGTATATCTCTAGTACTTTTGTTAAATACGATAGATCAGATCGCATTAGCCATATTTCGTTCGCATGCGACCGGAGGAAAGCAAACTGTTAGCTTCTTCTCCCACTTTCAAAAAGTTGAATAAACTTTTGTGAGTTTTAGGGAGTACAGCAAAAGTAAGAATGAATGTAGCCTCTATCGCTTCGCTCGCGCTAACCTGGCTATCTTTCCCAATGCTGTGACTTTTCACGCCGCTATATTTTACAGAGATATATACTGCATCAGTTATGTTGAAAAACAGAAGAAATTATATTAAGCAGTTATATTTTTCATTCCGTCTCTGTTACTGGGTTGACGCGTTTATGTTTGTTCGAAAATTGCACCAGCTGTTTTTTGGTCTCCTAATTGACACGTAAGACTTCTTACACATTATTGCCTCTTTCTAGAAATGCCAGTATCCTTAACATAGTTCAGCACACGTAAATTACGCGAGCAGGTGAAATTTACGAAGTAAAAGATGGCATGGCGCCAGTGCAAGTAAGATGACCCAGAAAAAAGAAAACTCCTGTATGAGTTTTTATGATTTATATAATTATATAAAAATGCCCGTGCTTTCTTACTTTAGTCCCCCCAACGTTTTTGACAACAATATTAATAAAACGACAGTTTAATGTGTCTGATGAACATTACCATATTTTTTTTCTCTTTTCCATGTTGCTGTTGCTGTGTAATTGATTGTGAAATACGTTTGAGCGATTTGAATCAATTGTTTCCCTTTACACATCTGTTCTCTTTTGCGGTCCATATTGTCTGTCAGAACTTCTTTCGCTTTTTAACCCTATGGTGATTGTCGGGGTTACAAATACGTGTTTCGAATTGGTGCTCCGCTAGATAGATATCACTTTGAAAGGTGTAAACCTTGGCATGTCTTAGAGTAAAAACATGGGCAGGATAAAAAAAAATCGATAGTATATAAGATGAAAAAATCAAAGATAACAACACCGATAACAAAATTATTCGGCACAATGATCCAAAAGATTCAAGTTAACATACCCAGAAAAAAAAAGATAAATTTAACAGATCCGCATCCTGTTGTTCTTTAATAATTTCATATTTTTTATTTTCATTTGTTCCTAAAATTAAGCTTTTTTTATTGTTTTGATTTGGTATTGTACTTATATGGCAGCGTGCTTACTGATGTCATTATGTCAAAACGGATTATTTTGAGGCGATGTCGCTCGAGACGAACCCCATGAGTTTCTGGCTGATTCTGTAGAACAATCTTGGCACTGACCAACAAGTATAGCTTAAAGTCTCAATTTAGAAATGTAGCACACTTTACGGCTCTGTGAGCGCCGTATAGTTCGCTTACTTATGTATGCGCGAATTATGCGAAATTTTACCCGAAATAGAGACATCACAGCCCTTCGAAGGATACGCTCGAAGTTTATTGTAGGATCAACGTGAAGCTTAGGGACGCTGAATTGGCGTTGATTTGTGGCTATTCAGAAATGGTTAATTCCGACCCGATATCGACGTACTTCTAGCAGTAAAGCCCGAACTGTAATTTGTCTTACGGAAAAGTCACTCTTAGAAAATATCAAGCTTGTGTGTTATGCTGCAAACGTAGAGTATTGACCAGGGACACCTACTGAAAATGTATACATGAATGGTACCTGATCATAAAAAAAAAAATACTGTTTTCAATAATCGTTTATATAGTGTTAATTTTCACATTGTCATAATCTTCATCGGCTGTTCATTAAATACACGTACACGTACACGTACACGTACGCACTCTGCATTTAATCCACAAGTACTAGTGCTAAAGCTACGACTACCGTGGTACACAACTTCATCTTCTCGATTCTAGTAACTTAAGAAATTTAATGTGAAACAAAATTGCTCCTTAACAGAATTATTAAAGTGTCTCTAATGCAAACGATAAAGTTATCGATATACGACGCACCATTACTAGACGAAGCGAGCGACAAGATGAATAAACGAAGCAGATCTAGAACTGAATGTGTTGTAACTTCAACTTTTTTTTTGCAATAATAGTTTCGTTATCCTTGTTACAGGATTCTCCTCTGCTAATTGGGAACAATGGTGGACCTATGATGGAATCTCGGGTACGTATTGGCTATCAATTCAACAATACTCCAAGTAGCAAAATAGCGCGTTCTAGCCTTAAAAATTACTGTCAAAAGTTTCTGTAATCGAGATTGGCTGAACTGGTCCAGTAAGTGCAATAAGCAAGTTTTATCGACTCGTACGGGTTGGGCTGCTCAAGAGATAGATGCCTTTTATTTGAAATTTTTCCCTACTTGCAATGAGATAACAGCCACCCACGACAGACGAGAATCACTCGATCAGCCTGAAGCGTTCAGGCTTAATTAGTTTTTGTCAAACTCATGTATGGATGTAGTTTCTTCCACGCGAACGTTGAAGTAAACGTCTCACATTTATTAATGAATGTATAGATTCACAAGTTGGAAAAAATTGCCATTGATATAATTATTATAGAGATTATTTACTCATTTTTGATAACTGTGAGAGGTAACACTAATAAATTAAAACGAAGTTCATGCTGTCAGGCTTTTCCAACGTGTTATCACCATTCTTAGTACTATATCTGCGAAGGAAAGCCCGGCATATAGCTGTTGTATGCATGGCGTAGAATCAGTGTCTTGATTAATTTCAAGCTTTCTTTGATAAATGATATTTTTCATAAATATAAACTTTTGGCCATTATTATTACCAAAGAACCTATTAAACTTTTGTTAATTATTATTCTGACCTGGTACAAGAGCTGCCAAAGACTAGTCGTGAGTAATTTGTTAAAGTTTATAACTCTAATAGATTTTTTGTGGGAGGCTCTTTTTTGGCGTATATGATTGTTTTCCAGGCTCCGAAAGTTTGAACCCTACATACATCTAATCCAGGATCTGCTTTTGAGCAGTAAAATTAACTGATATTATTTGGCAACAGTACGACATTGGCCACAAAGAAATAAACGTCCTATACGTATAGAATAGCTGACTCTTAGAGTTAGAGAAAAAAAATTGCGTTCTTTTTTTTTAAGTATATCTCAAGAGATGGAAGCCCACACTTGCGAACATTTCAAATCAATATACGATGGCAGATGACCATATACGAAATACATAGGGTTTATGTGTACCTCGAAAATTATTTAAAAGCAATCATCGCTTTTAGTAAGTAAACTATGCTCACAGAACTGGTGGTTGGCATTGATTAAATTTTCCTGAGCTTCTAGCTGCAATACCGGTATTACTAGTAGATAAATGTATTTTTCTAGTTAGCTATAGTTTATATATTATAATGCCCTCTCGATACAACTGGCTCGTTATACACCTCGTTATTGCAGCTTCGTGTTGTAAGGAGCCGATTATTAACACGACGTATCTGAAATATTGGGAAGTCTTCGCGGTAACTAAGACCACAATGATTATTATGGTTTCGATGAATAGGAATTATAACTTCCATTTCAAACACCATATAAACACACACACGCATGACTTTCTATCTATAGCCCTCTATATCTTTAAATAATTAAAAACTAAAGTCACATTACATAATCTTCATTATCACGCATAATGTATATCATGCATCAATATATACAATACATATAGATAGGCCCAAAAAAATCATAGATGAAACCTTTTGTGCTGGGCCTCTATTCGTTCAATTCTTGCACTCGATGTCCCTGAAAATGCTCAAAGGCATTGTGGCATCGTCACCCCCCGCTATAAGCCGTCCTTGCGTCTTGCCTACCCCTAGAGCTCACTAATTCCCCCACTCTAGCACCCGCAAGACATGAGTCAGAAATCGGGACAAAGATCTCAGTCCCTCGAGCGATAGTCTCATGAGGGTCCTGGCGTCCAGAGAAGAACCTTCTTACTAGGAGGCAACTGACGAGGGGGCCGTTCTCCTCGCGCCAAATGAGCGCAGGGTGATAGCGATGATGGCAGTAGTAGTACGCTGCGTGTATGTGAGTGCGACTTAGAGACGGCGAGGTGGGGTGTGATGGGGAACGGTAAGGATGATCATGTCTATGTCGCTGTTTGTCGGGACAGTCAGTGCATGAGTCGGGCGCCTTAGATGGATGCTTTGTCGGAAGAATGTTCCTCCATCGAGCGATGAACGCTTTTATAGCGCGCTGACTCTGCCAGCAGAAAATCTAGAAGGGAGTCAAGCGAGAGACGACCAGGCAATGTAACACAGTGACGAACTGGTAACTTTGAGATCTCAGAACAAGCAGGGTTTATTGGGAGTAAGCTATAGTAACCCTTAAGAGGATGGCGCGGATGCTTTTCGAGCAGGCTCAGCAACGACGCGCAATATATTGCCCATCTATTTAGATGTTCGCCATAGGAACGCTCCACAAAGGCATAGACACATAACCATGAGCATATCTTAGAAGCTGATTTATACAGTTTCTTAGTAGAAACTTGCTCACAGATAAAAATTCTCAATTTTTTTCAAATGGCATGTTGTTTCTACGTCGAGTTTTATAGATATTTCCGTCCAGTCTGACAATGACGATCGTTGCTACTGCTAGTCAACATATATAGTTACATTTAACAACCACCGTCGCCGTGTGTGCAAATTTTCGCCCATCTAAAGTTAGCGACACATGTTTAAGAGTGCGTATATATAGTATTGTTTTCCACCACAAGGAGTTTGCTGTTTTGCTGTAGAAAAGCATTTCTCTATCAAAAATGACAAACGAACCCATGTCCGATATAACCTAACGCTTCTCCCAGTTTAGATGCCGTAGACGAATATATATACGGATGGCTGTAAAGTGTGTTTTATCGGTAGTGGATTCATTGCGTACTTCAAGTGATTGAAGTGGTTGAAGTACGATCTAAAAATAAGCGGTGAAAAGTCCTACAATATATCCAACGAAGAAGCCCAAGCGATATCTATCAAAACTTAAATCCTAACCGTGAGGAAGACAACAAATCTGGTTCAAACGACGGTAAGCTACTAGCTGATATGACTTTGATGCCGAGGAAGTTCACGAAATATGTAGCTAGAAATGTCAGTATATTGTATATATACGTGTGCGGTATTATACGTTGAGGGCAGCTCACGTCTAAGAGATACGCGACTTAATCTGTAGAACAAAAAAAAAGTCAAGAGCAAAAACTTAAAAAAAGAATACGCGTCTTTTCCGCTCACTTTCGAAATAACTAGGTATATAGGTAACGCAGTAATGTTTGATTTTTATGATATGATTTGAATAAACGACTAAACAAGTGCTAATTACCGCGCTCGCTCACCACAGCTGATTTATTGCATGAGAATAGGAAGTATGTTGATACGAAACTTATATGTTTTACGTTGATTTAGTCTTAATTAATGGATCTTTAAATCAAATCAAGTTGCGCCCCGTAGCTTACACTGAGTTCAGTGCGTTCCCCTAATTGTCTTTATTTTGGTTTCGTTTTTGGTTCATGTTTATGTTAGTAACTTGAAGTTATGCATTTTTAAACAAAAAAGTATGGACAGCAAATCGTGACACGCTGTGCAAGTTGAATCCTTCGGTACTCGGGTCTCACACATTCTTTTCTTTAGCACCCCATATCCAGTGAGAGTTAGCTTTTTGCCAATCCTCCGTGTGCTAGGCGGTTCCTGTTGCGAAACTGCTATGTGCCATCGTCAGGCGCCTTTGCCTCGGTCATCATAGTCGACCTAATAACAATCAATTTCACTTTTTCGCTGCTAAAAAATACCTCACAATTAGCGTAAAGTCTTCCGAGCTTACAGAAAACGTAGCGACTGTGCAATTAACACTAGTAGCTTTACCAGTTATGACCGCATTTTTTTAATGCTAGGTAAATTTAAACCAAAACGCACTAAATTAAGCATTTAAAACTACTATCTTCTATAGAAAGTAAGTACTTTTTTATGAAATATTCACTTACTCACAATAGTATGATAGTGATTCCTAATATTGTAGTTTGCGACCTAGCTATCCAAACCGAGGTGTGTCATTTAATTGTAACGTATGAGTTGGTGATAATCATAATTTAACAGAAACACATATATATGCTTTGGTGTAATCCTTTTACACCAAATTTTACGTCGGTTTACAGTAAACCACTAACAGATGTAATTATCTAATATAAGATCGGTTACGAGCAGTATCCACAGGTTTTTCGTTAAAAAAAATCACTTATGCGGCAGAAAAAACTAAGAAAATGGTTAGTTATTTTATTGATGAGTCTGCCTCACCCTCCTTGAAACAGTAGACTGACAACAGTGGCGCCACGGTGTCGCCTCCATTTGCCGGCGTTTCTTTGGCCGGGATTGGATGGGATGCGGTGGGGTGGTAGCTTTCAGGTCGACGTCGCCAGCCACTTCTCCCCCCTCTATCTTTATTGGAAAAGCAACGATAACTGGACCAAGTGGGGCTGCGTCGTGTCGCCTCATTCCCTCTAACCCAAAAACAACACACGAATAGACCTCAACGGCCCGTCGTCACACCCCAATAGAGCACTTCTTCTAATCGAGTTACAGCGAAGCTGAATTCGGTTAGTAATCCACGTACGAGGAAAGCGTTGCCATAGTATCAGTTATCGATCGGCAAAGAATGCTAATCATATTTGTGCTCATTCTGCCTGGCACAATGCTACGCCAACACAAGCACCTAACCCCTTTTTAAATCATCAAATATTGTAATAATTTTGATAAAAACCAAGGAAAAACAAAACTGAGATAAGTCATCCTACTAAGCTCAAAACATGACATGGCGGCAGTGAGTGGTAGGCTGGCTTGTAAAAGCATAGGCACACCTTTATCGAACGGGGTGTTTTTTGGTTAATTTAGCACAATGTGTATTATCATTGCTTCATGCACAGATATTTTCTAGCATTTTTAGCCTCTTCCTGGCCAACCTAGCCACAGCATCTTTCCCGCCGAATCGTCCTTCGTATCTTGTGCCTTTAGGAGCTGTCCTGGAAGCATGTCTGGCTGCCCCTTCTTCCTTCTTAGACAAGCAGGGCTGTGTAATGTACATCTTTATCGGCTGGGTGGGCGATGGGCAAGATATTCCCGTGGCCTTACTTTGCTCGGCTGACATGCTGTCCATTTGGTCAATGCT